CATACATTAGTGTATAGCAAGGCCTGTGTGTGTACCTGTGTGTGTGTACCTGTGTGTGTGTGTGTACCTGTGTGTGTGTGTACCTGTGTGTGTGTGTACCTGTGTGTTGTGTGTTACCTGTGTGTGTACCTGTGTGTGTGTGTGTACCTGTGTGTGTGTGTACCTGTGTGTGTGTGTACGTGTGTGTGTGTACCTGTGTGTGTGTGTGTACCTGTGTGTGTGTACCTGTGTGTGTGTGTACCTGTGTGTGTGTACCTGTGTGTGTGTACCTGTGTGTGTGTGTGTACCTGCGTGTGTACCTGTGTGTGTGTGCCTGTGTGTGTACCTGTACTCACCTATTTGTACTCACCTATTTGTGGTTGCAGGGGTCGATTCGTAGCTCCTGGCCCCGCCTCTTCACTGATTGCTACTAGGTCCTCTCTCTCCCTGCTCCATGAGCTTTATCATACCTCGCCTTAAAACTATGTATGGTTCCCGCCTCCACTACTTCACTTTCTAGGCTATTCCACGGCTTGACTACTCTATAACTGAAGAAATACTTCCTAACATCCCTTTGATTCATCTGAGTCTTCAACTTCCAATGTGTGTGTGTACCTGTGTGTGTGTACCTGCGTGTGTACCTGTGTGTGTGTGCCTGTGTGTGTGTGCCTGTGTGTGTACATGTGTGTGTACTCACCTAGTTGTACTCACCTAGTTGAGGTTGCGGGGGTCGAGTCCGAGCTCCTGGCCCCGCCTCTTCACTGATCGCTACTAGGTCACTCTCCCTGAGCCGTGAGCTTTATCATACCTCTGCTTAAAGCTATGTATGGATCCTGCCTCCACTACATCGCTTCCCAAACTATTCCACTTACTGACTACTCTGTGGCTGAAGAAATACTTCCTAACATCCCTGTGATTCATCTGTGTCTTCAGCTTCCAACTGTGTCCCCTTGTTACTGTGTCCAATCTCTGGAACATCCTGTCTTTGTCCACCTTGTCAATTCCTCTCAGTATTTTGTATGTCGTTATCATGTCCCCCCTATCTCTCCTGTCCTCCAGTGTCGTCAGGTTGATTTCCCTTAACCTCTCCTCGTAGGACATACCTCTTAGCTCTGGGACTAGTCTTGTTGCAAACCTTTGCACTTTCTCTAGTTTCTTTACGTGCTTGGCTAGGTGTGGGTTCCAAACTGGTGCCGCATACTCCAATATGGACCTAACGTACACGGTGTACAGGGTCCTGAATGATTCCTTATTAAGATGTCGGAATGCTGTTCTGAGGTTTGCTAGGCGCCCATATGCTGCAGCAGTTATTTGGTTGATGTGCGCTTCAGGAGATGTGCCTGGTGTTATACTCACCCCAAGATCTTTTTCCTTGAGTGAGGTTTGTAGTCTCTGCCCCCCTAGACTGTACTCCGTCTGCGGTCTTATTTGCCCTTCCCCAATCTTCATGACTTTGCACTTGGTGGGATTGAACTCCAGGAGCCAATTGCTGGACCAGGTCTGCAGCCTGTCCAGATCCCTTTGTAGTTCTGCCTGGTCTTCGATCGAGTGAATTCTTCTCATCAACTTCACGTCATCTGCAAACAGGGACACCTCAGAGTCTATTCCTTCCGTCATGTCATTCACAAATACCAGAAACAGCACTGGTCCTAGGACTGACCCCTGTGGGACCCCGCTGGTCACAGGTGCCCACTCTGACACCTCGTCACGTACCATGACTCGCTGCTGTCTTCCTGACAAGTATTCCCTGATCCATTGTAGTGCCTTCCCTGTTATCCCTGCTTTGTCCTCCAGTTTTTGCACCAATCTCTTGTGTGGAACTGTGTCAAACGCCTTCTTGCAGTCCAAGAAAATGCAATCCACCCACCCCTCTCTTGTCTTACTGCTGTCACCATGTCATAGAACCTCCAGTAGGTTTGTGACACAGGATTCCCGTCCCCTGAAACCATGTTGGCTGCTGTTGATGAGATCGTTCCTTTCTAGGTGTTCCACCACTCTTTCTCCTGATAATCTTCTCCATGATTTTGCATACTATACATGTCAGAGACACTGGTCTGTAGTTTTAATGCTTCATGTCTGTCTCCTTTTTTAAAGATTGGGACTTACATTTGCTGTCTTCCATGCCTCAGGCAATCTCCCTGTTTTCGATAGATGTATTGAATATTGTTGTTAGGGTACACATAGTGCCTCTGCTCCCTCTCTCAATACCCATGGGAGATGTTATCTGGCCCCATTGCCTTTGAGGTATCTAGCTCACTCAGAAGCCTCTTCACTTCTTCCTCGTTGTGTGCACTATGTCCAGCACATGGTGGTGTGCCCCACCTCTCCGTCTTTCTGAGCCCCTTCTGTCTCCTCTGTGAACACTTCTTTGAATCTCTTGTTGAGTTCCTCACATACTTCACGGTCATTTCTTGTTGTCTCTTCCCCTTCCTTCCTTAGCCTGATTACCTGTCCTTGACTGTTGTTTTCCTCCTGATGTGGCTGTACAACAGTTTCGGTCAGATTTGGCTTTTGCTGCTATGTCGTTTTCATATTGTCTTTGGGCCTCCCTTCTTATCTGTGCATATTCGTTTCTGGCTCTACGACTGCTCTCCTTATTCTCCTGGGTCCTTTGCCTTCTATATTCTTCCATTCCGTAGCACACTTGGTTTTTGCCTCCCTGCACCTTTGGGTAAACCATGGGCTCATCCTGGCTTTTTCATTATTCCTGTTACCCTTGGGTACAAACCTCTCCTCAGCCTCCTTGCATTTTGTTGCTACATATTCCATCATCTCATTAACTGGCTTCCCTGCCAGTTCTCTGTCCCTGAACCCTGTTCAGGAGTTCCTCATTCCTGTGTAGTCCCCTTTCTTGTAGTTTGGCTTCATTCGTCCTGGCCTTCCTGCTTCTCCCTCCACTTGTAGCTCTACTGTGTATTCGAAGCTTAAAACCACATGGTCCACTGGCCCCAAGGGGTCTTTCATATGTGATGTCCTCAATATCTGCACTACTCAAGGTGAATACTAAGTCCAGCTTTGCTGGTTCATCCTCTCCTCTCTCTCTTGTAGTGTCCCTTACGTGTTGGCACATGAAGTTTCCAGTACCACCTCCATCATCTTAGCCCTCCATGTATCTTGGCCCCCATGTGGGTCCAAGTTCTCCCAATCGATCTCCTTGTGGTTAAAGTCACCCATGATCAGGAGCTTTGCCCTGCATGCATGAGCTCTTCTGGCCACTCTAGCCAGTGTGTCAACCATCGCTCTATTGCTCTCGTCGTACTCTTGCCTTGGCCTCCTCCTGTTCTGTGGTGGGTTATACATCACTGCTATTACCACCTTGGGACCTCCAGAGTGAAGCGTTCCCGCTATGTAATCACTTTCTTCTCCGCTGTCTCCTCTCTCCAGCTCATCAAAAATTCCAGCGATTTTTGATCAGCAATGCCACTCCTCCACCCCCCCCCCTGTTTCCCTCTGTCTTTCCTCAGGATTGGTATCCGTTGGAAAGATGGCATCTGTTATCATACCTGTAAGCTTTGTTTCTGTGAGAGCTATGATGTCCGGTGATGCTTCTTTGACTCTTTCATGCCACTCCTCCCCCACTTATTTGTTATTCCATCAGCGTTTGTGTACCATACCTTCAGTTTCCTTTCCAACACTGTGGTTTGGGGGGCCTGTGAGGGTGGGAGACCTGGTGGCATACTGTGGGATTCTATAGCTCGGTGTTGGGTGGAGGCTGTGGGTATGGATTGTAGTGTGTGTTGGGATGGTGTGATTGGTTGTATGGTTCTGAGAATAGTTGTGTGTGTGCTTGCCCTTGCTGTTCTGTTCTGCTCTGACTGACCTCTGCTGGTTCCATCCTTGTCTCTTTTCCTAGCTCCTTTCGCTTTTTTGTCCTCTCCCTCAGCTGCTGTCGTTCTGATTTTGTTCTGTCTCTGTCTAGGAACACCCTCTTGTACTCTTCCGAGTATTTCAATCGTGGTTTCTCTTGGAGGATCCTGTTCCGCACTGTTTCCGTCCTGAGAATCAGCTTGATTGGTCGGTTTCTCCCCTTCGAGTACCCCCCTATTCTCTGAAAATTTGCAATCTCGTCCATCTCTTCACCTATTTCCGTGATGATTTTGTGTGCCTGTGTGTGTGTGCCTGTGTGTGTGTGCCTTTGTGTGTGCGCCTGTGTGTGTGCACCTGTGTGTGTGTGCCTGTGTGTGTGCCTGTGTGTGTGCACCTGTGTGTGTGTGCCTGTGTGTGTGTCCCTGTGTGTGTGCGCCTGTGTGTGTGCCTGTGTGTGTGTGCCTGTGTGTGTGTGCCTGTGTGTGTGTGCCTGTGTGTGTGTGCCTGTTTGTGTGCACCTGTGTGTGTGTGCCTGTGTGTGTGCGCCTGTGTGTGTGCCTGTGTGTGTGTGCCTGTGTGTGTGCGCCTGTGTGTGTGCGCCTGTGTGTGTGCCTGTGTGTGTGCGCCTGTGTGTGCGCCTGTGTGTGTGCGCCTGTGTGTGTGTGCCTGTGTGTGTGCGCCTGTGTGTGTATGCCTGTGTGTGTGTGCCTGTGTGTGTGTGCCTGTGTGTGTGTGCCTGTGTGTGTGCGCCTGTGTGTGTGCGCCTGTGTGTGTGTGCCTGTGTGTGTGCGCCTGTGTGTGTACCCTGTGTGTGTGTGCCTGTGTGTGTGCGCCTGTGTGTGTGTGCCTGTGTGTGTGTGCCTGTGTGGTGTGCCTGTGTGTGTGTGCCTGTGTGTGTGTGCGCCTGCGTGTGTGTGCCTGTGTGGTGTGTGCCTGTGTGTGTGTGCCTGTGTGTGTGTGCCTGTGTGTGTGCCTGTGTGTGTGTGCTTGTGTGTGTGCGCCTGTATGTGTGTGCCTGTGTGTGTGTGCCTGTGTGTGTGTGCCTGTGTGTGTGTGCCTGTGTGTGTGTGCCTGTGTGTGTGTGCCTGTGTGTGTGTGCCTGTGTGTGTGTGCCTGTGTGTGTGTGCCTGTGTGTGTGTGCCTGTGTGTGTGTGCCTGTCTGTTTTTAAAAACTGTTCATGTATTTTTATTTAATATTTATTATTTTCTTCCAGGTGTCTGCTACCACGACGGCTACTACTTTTCGGTAAGTCACTCTGCTTCTCTGTTAATTACGTATCTCACTTACAAGAGAAGGGCGAGCATGGTGTGTGTGTGTGTGTATGTGTGTGTGTGTGTGTGTGTGTGTGTGTGTGTGTGTGTGTGTGTATGTGTGTGTGTGTGTGTGTGTGTGTGTGTGTGTGTGTGTGTGTGTGTGACGGGAAAGAGAGTAATTAAGAGGAAGATAATTTTTTTTATTACCTAAACAGTACACAAATAACCCGCACATAGAAGCGAGGAGGTTACGACAACGTTGCGGTTCGACTTGGACCATTCACAAAGTCAAACTAACGAAAAGGAGAGCAGGAAGTGTGTATAAAGGCAGGTGGTAGTAGTAGTAGTACTGATACTACCACCTGCCTATGTATACCCTTCCTGCTCTCTTTCGTTAGTGTGACTTTGTAAATGGTCCAAGTCGAACCGCAACGTTGTCGTAACCTCCTCTCTTCTATGTGCGGGTTATTTGTGTATCGTTCCAGTCACGGTATTGTGCCTTTTTATTATTTACATAAACAGTATTGGTATATTAAACCGGGAATACCTCCCTAGGTATACCTAAGTTGATTGAACCCTGTCTGGTTTTTCTTGGATTTCACACACATTTCCTATATTTTGCACACACTTCACTTGCACCTCTTACATTTCACATTTACCTAACGTACATTTTACGTGCATTTCATCATTGTATTTATCACTTTTATAATTATATTGAATGTTTATATGTTTGTCATGTGGATGAGGTGCTGACGTGAATGGGGGATATGATTTGGAGATCGCATCAGGATAAGAATATCCAGAACCCGTAACTTAGCTTGTAATTACCAAACCTCGGTGTGATCCCCGGGCGAGTCGAGACGAATATGAAATCAAATTATATCTGTTGGCTCTTTCCAGTTAGCGGTAAACAGGTTCCGAGGAGTCAGTCAGCTCCTGTAAGTCACATCCTGGGGAAGAGAGGCGACGGACCACAAGCGAAATAAGTGTCGCTGTTTGGCTATCCTTGATTAATTTAACCTTGGGTTAGCATTCTGCAAAATGTGTTCTTCAGTCAGCTCGTCGAGTCGCTAAGGTGGTTCATAATTCTGTGGGATTGGCAACATTGTAAATAATGGCAGTGCATTACGTCAGGCTGTAGCAGTAGTGAGACAGTGAAAATAAGTGTTATTGCGATAGTGATGTGTTGCATAGGACTGCAACATTAGTAACAGTTGGCCTCTTGTATGCGCTGAACCGCTGGAAAAAATTATAATGCTATTGTCCAAATTTTGTGTGAATCATATCTACAGAGTAGTGTGTACCCAGTACAGGTGTTACTGGGCATTTTGAAAACTGCAGAACCAGCTATCCCTTTTCGCCCCCCACACACACACATACACACATGCACACACACACACACACACACACACACACACACACACACACACACACACACACACACACACACACACACACATACACACATACACACAAGCACGATTAAGGGACATGCCGGCATACAGGAAGGTGTATCTCGACTGCGACAGAACACAAGCAGAAAGGCAGAAACAGAGAGAGATGGTACAAAGGCGAAAGGAGGAAAGAGAGGGGATGGAGAAGACAGACAGGAGATCCCAGACACAGGAAGATCAAATACAGCCTCCCTCACAACTTCCTATAGAAGCATCCCAACCAGGTCAACCCCAGTGCAACCAAACACTCTAAACCAAAACACCCATGCCACATCCAATGCCCCCACCCACTGCATTACAAACTCCACCCCCACAGCAACCACCCATTGTTCCTTATCAGGTCTCCCACTTCCCCAACCCCAATACACCTCCCAGACCACAATCTTAGAAAAGAAGTTTTTGTGGTATACAAATGCAGATGAAATAACAAATAAGTATGAGGAGTGGCACGAAAGAATCAAGGAGACATCCCCAGACATAATATCACTCACAGAAACAAAACTCACCAGAATAATAACAGATTCAATCTTTCCATCCGGATATCAAATCCTCAGGAAAGACAGAGGGAGGAGAGGGGAGGAGGAGTTGCACTGCTCATTAAAAACCAGTGGGGGTTTTGAGAAAATGGAAGGAATGGATGGCACGGGCGAAAGGGACTACTTAGTAGGAACAATCCAGTCTGAGGGACATAAGGTGATAATTGCAGTAATGTACAACCCACCACAGAATGCAGGAGCGCCAAAGGAGAATACGATGAGAGCACAGAGCAATGGTCGACACACTAGCCGAGGCTGCAGGAGGAGCACACATGGGGGTGCAAAGTTACTAGTTATGGGTGATTTCAATCACAAGGAGATTGACTGGGTAAATCTGGAGCCCCATGTGTGGTCCCCGAAACATGGGAGCCAAGATGATGGAATGGGTACTGGGAGAACCTCATGCATCAAATGTTAGAGGACACTATCAGAGAGAGAGGAGAGGATGAACCAGCAAGACTGGACCTTGTATTCACGCCTTGAGTAGTTCTGAATACGAGGATATCTTCCCCCTAGCAAAGCCCTGGGAGCTAGTGATCATGTGGTTTCTGTGCTTCGACTACATAGTTGAGCTCCAAGTGGAGATGAGCAGCAGGTAAGGATAAGATAAAGATAAGATTTCGTTCGGGATTTTAACCCCGGAGTGTAGCCCACAGGATAACCAAGAAAGTCAGTGAGTCATGAGGACTGTCTAACTTATTTCATTTGGGGTCCTTAATATTGTCCCCAGGAGGATGGACCCACACCAGTCGACTAACACCAGTACCTATTTGTTGCTAGGTGAAAAGGACAAAGGGTGGTAAGGAAACGTGTCGAATTTTCACCGCCGGAATCGAACCGGGACCTCGTGTGTGAAGACGGGAGCTTTAGCCACCAGGCCACGGGTGGAAAAACCAAACTACAAAAGGGGGAATACTCAGGCTTGCGGAACTTCTTTCAAGATATTCAGTGGGAGAGGGAAATGACAGGGGAAATCCAGTACAAGATAATGATGTGACTAAGTGGCAACAAATGCAAGGAGACAGAGGAAGAGGTTTGTTACCAAGGGAAACAGAAATAATGGGAAGAAACAGAACGAGGTCCTGTTCACCCAAGGTGTAGGGACGGCAAAAACTAGGGGTATAGAGAAAGGAAAAAGGTTACAGAAGACAGAGAACTCAGGAAAATAAAGAGTTTTGCCGAAGAGCCAGAAACGAATATGACAGATAAGAAGGGAGGCTCAGGGCAACCAATACGAAATGACATAGCATCGAAAGTCAAGGACTGACCCGAAGCTGTTGTTACACGCCAATCAGGAGGAAAAACAAACAGTCAAGGACCAGGTAATCAGACTGAGGAAGGGTTGTTGGGGAATTCGCACAGAAAACGACGGGAGGTATTCAGGAGTCAACAAACACGATGTAAAGAAGTATTTACTGTGGAAAACCAGTATGGAACTCCAGGAAATCAGAGGAGGGGGGGGTGCACAGCAAGTGCTGGATGAGGTTACATATACCAAGTAGGGAGGTGAAGAAGCTGACTATGCGAACTGACACTCAAAGGCGGAGCTGGGACCAGACAACATATACTCCCGCCTGGGTCCTTAAAGAGGGAGCGAGATATTGTGTGTTACCGGTAACCAAAGATTTCTTTTTAACACTTCATTTGAACTGGGCAACTCCCCGAGGTATGGAAGATGCAAATGTAGGTCCCAATTTTAAAAAGGGGTGGACAGGACTGAGGCACTCTAAAACTACAGACCTGTATCACTAAAGTTGGTACTAGTATGCAAGGTCTGGAGAAAGATATTCAGGAGGAGTGTGGTGGAGACCTGGAAAGAAACATGTGTATTAATTGACAACCAGCATAGTTTCAGGGATGGAAAATCCTGTGTCACAAACTACTAGAGTTTTAGACAAGGTGACAGAAGTAAGGACAAGAGGAGGGGGGGATCGCTGCATTTTTTGGACTGCAAAAAGGCCTTACACGTTCCTCACAAGGGGGTTATGCAAAAGAAGGGACGGGCACACATACAGGAAAGGATGCAATGGAAAAGGGGAATACCTGAAGGGAGGCAACAACGGTAATTGGTACGTGACGAGGTGTCGAGTGGGCGCCTGGCAAGCGGGGTTTTCCCGGGGGCGTCCTGGACCTGTGCTGTTCTTGGGATATGTAAAGAATAACGGAAGGGGAAAAAGAATCCGTTTTAAGTAAAATTTTGAAAATCAAATCGGGTGGGATCGGCAGACTACAAAGAGACCGGGCAAGGCTCAAGCCGGTTTCCCGCAATGGTCCTTTAGTTTAAACCCCCGCCAAAGCAAGTCGAAGATTGGGGAAGGGGAAAGAAGACCCAGCACAATATAGTTTTATGGCCAAAGCTGCAAACCTCCCAAAGGAAAAAAAATCTGGGGGTGAGTATAACACCGGAAATTTCCGAGGCGACATCAATCGAAACTGCTGCACATCGGGGGCCCCCCGGGAGGGCCCACGGATAGCGTTCGATACCTCCAGTAAGGATTCGTTCCAAGACTTCTGTTATACCATTTACGTCAGGCCCATTTACTGGAGTATGCAGCACGGAGGTTTGGAATCCACACTAGTCAAGCACGTCAAGAAATTAGAGAAAGTGCAAAGGTTTGCAACAAGACTAGTCCAGAGCTACGGGATTGTCTTACGAAGAAAGGTTGAGGGGAAGTCGCGCTTGACGGACAATGGAGGCCAGGAGGGTAGGGGAGGACCATGATAACGAATATAAATATTGCGCGGAATAGACGAGGGTGGACAAAGGACGGGATGTTCCAGGATGGGACACAGACACAAGATGTTAACATTGGGAAAGAAGTTGAAGACTCAAGATGAATCAAAGGGATGTTGGAAGGATTTCTTCAGTCATAGAGTAGTCAGGCCGTGGAATAGCTAGAAAGTGACGTAGTGGAGGCGGGAACCTACATAGTTTTAGGGAGGTATGAATATAAGCTCATGGGGAACAGGGAGAGAGAGGTCTAGTAGAATCAGTGAAGAGG